GAGATAACTTTGGGTTTGCATCACTTTAAGTCTTACATGTTATAAGTAAACAAAGTCTGAAAGTTTTTGTGCCTGACTTCGTTATAACAAAACTGCACAAGACCAATTAAAGCAATCCTCCTCCCAGCTTCCCTGTAATGACTGTTTAAAGGGAGCATAGTGGACCTGAAACCTCTGTTAAAAAAAATGGTTTATAATGAGTTTTTGATTTTGCACAGTATGCTAAGAGGTAGATAAGAGGTCGTCTTATTGGATTGATGACTTCATGTACCTGTTATGATAAATACTGGACTATGTTATGGTTATATATAAAAGAAGCATTCCAACAAAATTGAATCGGCATGCAATGCTGAACACCATTTACTAGCTATATCTTGTAAGAACATCTTAAATCTATTTGCTTTTTTGCTGGTGCTCTGATAAAAGTGTCATAATCCACAAATGATAATTTAGATGTATGTGTGTTTTGGGATGACAGTTGAAAATAATGCCTGTCACGGTTGGATATACTAAAATGTATGCTTTCAGGGTGTTAAGGAAGGATGATCAAGATCAGTGCTTGGATGCAAAACTCAGGATTAAGGTATGTACAAAACATGTAGCTGCTTGTACATCCCGCTTGCACTTACAATCATCAGTAAAATCATACTGACAAAAGCTGCATGTCCTTTAGATCAGTGATTTTGCAACCTGTGATCTTAGATTATCTCTAAGGGACCTGCAAAAGATGACTTTGATCAATCAAAAGTATGTGAATACCTACACTTACAATTCAAAGGGGTCAGCACATCTATTCAAAAATTTTAGAGGTCTGCAAATGAGAGAAGATTGAAAACTACTGCTTTACAACACCTGAGTACTGTTGCAGTAAAACAATCTTCAGTTTCTGGCTATACTGAATTCTTTATAAAGAAGAATAATATTCTGTCTGAGGCATCACTGAAATAAATATCTTAGCTAATGCACATCCCATAACCTCCCAGAAAGGGGAAATTCTCTTTTCAATTATTTATCTTTTTAATATTGAGAAAGAAAGTCTGACCTTGCCCTTCCTTTGCCTTGGAAAATACAGAAGAGAATAATGTGTTTATGACATGAGAGGAACTTAGGAATGTCTTTAAGAAAGTGGAACTGAGATTTTTTTTCTCCTGCCAAGAGTTACTTAAAAAAACCAAAGTTTAAAAATTGAGACTTCCATGTCATCCAATAATCATTTTTTTTTCTTTTTAAGGGAAGGGGTAGGGGACATAAGTGTTTACTTACCAAAACTGTGAAGATAAGAGACAAGCTGATTGTTTTTGTTTTAAAAGAAACTTTTATCTCACTCATAAAGAAGAAGCAAAGGGGCTACAAATCACTTCCTGCTCCTCTCTCCTCTTCTCATCCTCCTCTGTGCAAAGCACCTTTGCAAATAAAATGTAAGGCTAAAGACTTGAAAATACATCAAGCTTTATGATTTTATCAAAAGCAATTTGCCAGGTCTCTGTCTCCAAGTGTAAATTATTGATATGTACAGCTCTGTACATACCTGGGTACCATGATAGTAGGCATGCTAAAATGTCTCAAAAATAGTATTAGTTTTGTTACTGTTTCTTTATACCGGACATTTTTTCCATCCCCCTGTCCAACGAGAAACAGGTATCAACCATGCCATTCCTCAGGCAAAAAATAAGCAAGACATAAGATGTAACCTTTTTTTAAAATCAGTCACTAATTTATATAGATCTAATAAAGCCATAAAACTTCTGGACAAAATCTGCCCTCATTACAATTCATGGGCTGGGATATGGTGGTGAGATGTGTACATTTATTAGGGCCACGCATTTAACACTGAGTCTCTTACAACTTCCCTTAAAAATAAATACACAACCAGATTTTCATGGACAACTCTGCTTTTACTGCAACCTGCAACACAGGAAAAGTAAATCCAGAGTGGAATAATAGTGAAGGCACTATTCGAGTGCTTGCCTTGCATCCTGTATTCTACTGACAGCTGTTTGTGATGTTGGAGCGGAGTGATGCTTATGGAGTTGTCTTGTTTTGTTTTTAGGGTGGTTAATGGGAGTGGTTTTTAGGGTGGTCTTGTTTTGTTTTTAGGGTGGTTTCAGTAGTCCCCCCTCAACCTTGGGGGAAAAAAGTCTATGACTTGCATCAATACTTAGTACAATTGTCAGGCTAACTTCATAGATAAAACACAAGAAGTACACCTATGGGGGTGGTGCACCATCCCTCCAACCATGGGACATTAGGGGAAAGGTGTAACTGGAGCCCCTGGGCCAGCATAGGGTACCTGGACAAAAAGCAAGAGCACAAAAGGGGCAGAGGGCCACTGCTGCTTCCCCTTGACTGACCTGGGGGTTTGGGGGCCAAAGCTGTTCCTGCCCTGCTCCAGCTGGAGACTGCGGGGAGTGAGTCCATGGGATGATGAACTTGGCTGGGGACAGCCGTGATGGCACTCAGTTTCCCCCTCCTAGTTCTCAGTCTTTGCTCACCCCTTCCTGGTGTCCCTTGTTGGCTGGGATGAGGTACTGGAAGGGGGAGATCTCTGTACCACTGCTGCTGTCCCTGGCTGAGCTTGGCTCCCTGCACGGCTGTTTCCTGGGGCTCCACCTGTTCCTGCATCAAGTAGGAGAGCGGCAGCCGTGCTTAGCTTCCTCCTTCCAACACCTACTCCCAGCTATCAGGGGATACCTACAGGGAAGAGGCAGGCAGGAAGCTGGTGCTGGAAAGAGAAACCTGCATGCCACCACCACTGTCACCTGTGAAACCTGTCACCCCACATGACCACAGCCTGCATCTGAGTGGAGCCATAGAGACTCTGAGGCTCCCCCTGTGCCTGGATCAGCCTGGGAAAGCAGTGGAAAGGGAGTGCAACTACACTGCCATACCCTCCTTGGTCTGCCCTAGTATAAGATTAGTACAATAGCATTATCTCAGCCATGTTGCATAATGGAGTGTTTAAGTGTGCAGATAAATATCCATATTTATTCTGGATATGAAATATGACTAAGTTAATGATGCGGATGGAGCTTTTGCTTTTGTCTTTCCTCATATAATTTTAAGAGGGCAAACGTAATGTCTTACCAGTGTCATGTTCATATTTACTCTCCTTTATATGCAAAGAGTAATTTTTCTGTGGGGAAAAAAATATCAATTATTGTCTAATGTACACCTCCTCTTAAATGTCTGACAGTGAACTATAGCACTTGTGGCTGATATTTGACTGATGAAAGTTGCCTGTAAAGTTGAGTCAATACAGCAAATTAGACTACCTTAGATTTTGGCTGTAGCTTGATGATGGAGATATTTATTTTTTCCTGGCATGAAAGTTGCAAAGTTGAAGATTAATGCACAGCATGGCAAAACCAAAACAAGACCTCAAGACCACAAGATTCCCCACTTCTATTTTTCTTGATGGTAAGATAGTGCTTGCTGCACAACTTGTGTTCAAATGATGCAGTAATAACATGCTTCCTGGGGGTCATCCTGGAAGCTGCTTGAGAGCAGCAGCTCTGCTGATGCCAGGCTGGGAGGGCTTTCATGTCAGATAAGAGATGCAAATTCAGTAGGCTGGAAATGAAAATGTTGGGGCATTTTCTCTCTTATGCATGTCTGAAACATTGGGGGTTTTTTTCTTTGTCTGTTCTTGCGTGAAACTTCCAGAAGAAGCACTTTTGGTAGGGCGAAGGGGAAGTAGTCATTTATCTGTTCCCAGTTAGAGGGGAATTTTCAGATGCTCTTCTGTTTAAGTAGGACTGAAATAATTTGTCTTTTGCTTTTGAAACCAATTTGGAATAAGCACAGAAAAGCTACAGATAAAATGTTTGTGCCATGCCTGTGACCATGTGTAGTCAAGGGTCTGTAATAGGGGCGGCTCACAACAGTTCTGCTGTTTCCCTCCTTCGACATGAAGGTACAGGAGTAGTAAATTATTTGCCCAAGTGCAGGTCATAGTGGCCTAGAGCCAGTCACATAGCCCCTACTGTCAGGCAAACCAGATAGGGCACATCTCAGACCCCATCTGACATTTTTGTGTCCTGTGGCTAAAGGAGCTCCTGATGTTCGCTTAATTTTAATTTCTGTCTCTTTATATTAGCATGACCTTTATGCTGGAATATGCTACAGATGCCAGGTGTTGGAACTTCAACAGTAGCTAAAATTGATTTGGCACATGGAATCAAAATAATGTAGCTTGACTTTTACAGTGTACTTAAAATGCTTTTAAAACAAAGATACTGGCTGCACAAATCTTGACTTTAAGTAACAGCACCATAAACACGTCAGTTACAACACATCTGCCCCATTTTTTCCCATTAATCCCCACCCCCCCACCAAATACAAAGGATAAAGCTGGTCTCCTGCATGAGACAGCTCATGACCTTGTGCTCCATAATCACTCTGGGTCAAAATAAGCTAAAAAAGCCACTGACTACAGTAAAAACATCAGGGATGAATTGGGTACAATATGTTATGAAAGTACAAGGCCCAGTTCTCATGTGCTCCAGTCATAAGTCGGGAGTAACCCCCTTAGAATCAACATAATTTCAGTGATAAAAAGAAGAGGAATATCAATGTGTGCCTACAGCACATGATTTTAAACAAGCTTTGCCATTGTTAAACCAGAAAATGCAGACCCCAGACTGTAATCTGAGCTTAATCCACACCTGATGGATCCCTGGGCCATAACTAGGGTCTCCAGATGAACTGCCTCCACTCTGCAGAGCACTTGGTTGGGAAGTCTGAGGCCCATCACCATCTACTCAAGATTTAATCTCCACATTAACTCAGAGGCCTGGTTTCAATTGCCCCACGTCCACGCTCTTGTTACTGTTATCACGTTAGATACGTGCCCCATTTCATTTGGCCATTCTACATCTGACTGTAGTTTCATAATCTGAATGCTTCCCTAGCCAAGCTACAATAGGAATTTCTTTGGTTTATGACTGTGTTTTTTAACGTAGTAAATCAAGATGCATTACATTGATAAGCATGTTTCTTACCGTGAACCTGATGATTACTCTGAAGAAGCACCATTAGAAAGATGTGCAGTAAAATCCTACTTGTCCGCATGCCTGGAGAAGCCTTCATTTTATGGTCATGGTACAGATGGTTAGAAGTTCCTCTGTGGTAGAGAAGTGCAATCCAGGTAGCCTCCTACAATGCCTCTGTGATTGCCCATGGTGCAAGTCTGAGCTTATCTTGACTGAAAACTTAGAAAAGGGAGGGAGTTGAGCAGTGAGGAAGAGGGCGGGGAAGGTTTAGTAATCTGCTATGCAAAGATCTGACAAGTTTTACATGATGACTTTTTTGTGTGGTTGTAACATCACCCACCTACTTGCTTCTAAAATCTCTGAACTGCAAAAAGGTTATGAACAAAACGTCTTTTTTCCTCAGAGTGGTAAGCAGAAGTAACCTGCCCCCAAGTGCCTTTTTCAGTTCAACAAATGGAACTACAGCATTTTGAAAAAAATAATGGCTGTATAATTTAATGCAACCTTAAAACTGTGGCAGAGTTCTATTTAATCAGACTTTTCCTGAGAAGTATTGCATTTTTTCTTCAGTTCTTTTGAATTTACTCATTTATTTAAATACATTTGTAACGAGACAGGAAGAGCTAAAGTTGCCAATCCAATTGCTTCTTGCTGTATCCTATTTTGTACACTTCAAGCTTTTAAATGAGAAGTGGCCAACCTGCAGCATGCATGCCAGAAGTGGCATGTGGAGCCTTTGTGTGGCACGTGGCAGATCAGAGAGGGGAAGGGTAGCATAGCAGCAGGTTAGGAGTGCATGGCACGGAGCAGAAAGCAGAGCATCAGATTGGGTAAGGGAATGGGCCTGGAGTGGTATTTGTGGGGATGAGAGAGGGGGCAGAGCGTAGAGCTCATTTGTGGTATGCCTACCAAAAAGGTTGGCTCCCACTGTTTTAAAACTTTCTAGTGTTCTCTTTAGAGTAAGCACAGTTTTTTAGTCTCAGTTCCTATGCCCTCAACCACTCATCTCACTGTTCTCTAGACAATCTCAGTCCTACAGTATCCTCTCTGACGTGGGGTTAACAGTATTCTAGACAAGACTGTACTGTTGATCTATATTATTCTCCATCCATCGCTTTTTTTATTTCCACCATCCTATTGGCTGTTTTGTGTGTGTATTTTATTTTGGGGGAGGAAGGGGTTGGTAATGGTGTAGTGAACAGAGGTTTTTTAATAACCTACTTTAATGACTTGTGGGTACTTTCTTGGTGTGACAGAGAGAATTCAGGACCCTATAAAAGGTGCAAATGATCCTAAATGTTTATTCCTATATACATTATTTTGCATTCACTGATACTACATTTCCCACAATCTGTGCAAATTGTATAACATGCCAAATGTCATATTTTGCTATCCTTGTGAAAATTTAGACTTCTAAGGTTGGAAGGAACCACAATGATTGTATAGTGCAAGTGCACTCTGCACAAATGTAAGATACTCTATTCTGTTCCCAGGCTACATCCCTGAAGCAAAGCCAGCTCCTCCTTTCTTCCCACCAAATGTTTTAGAGCCCTTGGGTGTGTCCAGATGAGTGCACACATGCATTCTCCCCAAGGACAAATAGCAGCGGTACATAGTTGTGCCACTGCTGCTTGTCGCCAGGGAATGCCTGTGCACGCATGTTCTGATGCATGGTAAGCTGCCTTTGGTGGGGTAGGGGAGGCTAGGACCAGCACCTGCACTAGCCTCAGCAGCCTTACCTGGGGGCCTTAGGCTCTCCTGGGGCTCCAGCAGCGGCAGTCCGGCAGTACAGACCCTGGCTGGCACTTGGAGCATGACTGGCTGGGCAGGCTCCTGTTTTGGGTGGTGCATGCTGCCATCATGTGTGCTGCCCCACTTTTTTCTAGTGGTGGGCTTTTTGATACCAGGATCTCCTGGTGTCAAAAAGCATACCCTGTGCTGCCAATTAGTAGCGTGGGGAATGCCTGCATGTGTGGTAGGGCTGTGCGAAGAAGCACTGTTTTGTTTTGACTTCCATTTCGATGGGACAGTGTGTCATTTTGTTTCAAAGTGCTGTTCCGTTTCGTTTCGTCAAAATCGTTTCACTGTTTGTTTCAATGCTGTTTTGATACTTCGCCCGTAGGCTATAATGGGGAAGCATGAAACTGTCGATAACTGTCATTTTTTGGCAGATTTGGATGAAAATAGCAGGGATGGTAGCCCTTTCTAAGAGCATGAAGTTTATCAAGTTTCAAGGAAATACGTACAGGGGTTTCTGGGAAACTGCACCTCAAAATCTTGAAAGCGGAACTTGTGTGTG